CACCACACACGCACACACGCACACGCACACGCACACGCGCACACGCGCACACGCGCACACACACACACGCACGCACACACGCACACACGCACACACGCACACACGCACACACGCACACACGCACACACGCACACGCACACGCACACACACACGCACACGCACACACGCACACACGCACACACGCACACACGCACACACGCACACACGCACACACGCACACACGCACACACGCACACACACAGCACACACGCACACACGCACACACGCACACACACACACACACACACACACACACACGGCACCCACAAGGCGAGAGGCGACACGATGGAGGCGGGAGGCGGCAGAAGGAGGAGGAGGAGGAGGAGGAGGAGGAGGAGGAGGAGGAGGAGGAGAGACGCGACCACAGTGCTCTATTCAAAACGAATGCCCAACCAAGGAGGGTTGGGGAATTAACCTGGCGACGTACCCAACCCCTGCGCAATGCGGGGCATGAATAGCTTGGGTCATGGGCGCATATAGTGCTGCGAGCGGCATTCGTGAGGTTCGCAGCCCCCTAAGGATTGCGATGTCTCGCTCAGATTTGCCTGGTGCCTCGCTCCGCTGAACCCGCCACAATCCGTCGAAAGTTGCGACGGTTTCGCAGATCGCAGCCCCCCAAGGACGGCGAGACCCCGCTCAGATCTGCGTGGTGCCTCACTCCGCAGGACCCACCAACAGCCTTCGAAAGTGGCGACATGTTCGCAGATCGCAGCCCCTCAGGGACGGCGAGGTCTCGCTCAGATCTGCGCGGTGCTTCTATCCGCAGGACCCACCAGCAGCCCTCGAAAGTGGCGACATGTTCGCAGATCGCAGCCCCTCAGGGACGGCGAGGTCTCGCTCAGATCTGCGCGGTGCCTCACTCCGCAGGACCCACCGGCAGCCCTCGAAAGTGGCGACAGTTTCGCAGATCGCAACCCCCCAGGGACGGCGAGGTCTCGCTCAGATCTGCGCAGCGCCTCACTCCGCAGGACCCACCAGCAGCTCTTGAAAGTGGCGACTGTTTCGCAGATCGCAGTCCCCCAGGGACGGCGAGGTCTCGCTCAGATCTGCGCGGTGCCCCACTCCGCAGAACCCACCAGCAGCCCTCGAAAGTGGCGACAGTTTCGCAGATCGCAGCCCCCCAGGTACGGCGAGGTCCCGCTCAGATCTGCGCGGTGCCTCACTTCGCTGGACCCACCAGCAGCCTTCGACAGTGGCGACCGTTTCGCAGATCGCAGCCCCCCAGGGACGGCGAGGTCTCGCTCAGATCTGCGCCGTGCCCCATTCCGCAGGACCCACCAGCAGCCCTCGAAATTGGCGACAGGTTTACATATCGCAGCCCCCCAGGGACGGCGAGGTCTCGCTCAGATCTGCGCGGTGCCTCACTCCGCAGGACCCAGCAGCAGCCCTCGAAAGTGGCGACGGTTTCGCAGATCGCAGCCCCCCAGGGACGGCGAGGTCTCGCTCAGATCTGCGCGGCGCCTCACTCCGCAGGACCCACCAGCAGCCCTCGAAAGTGGCGACATTTTCGCAGATCGCAGCCCACCAGGGACGGCGAGGTCTCGCTCAGATCGCGGTGCCTCACCGCAGGACCCACAGCCCTCGAAAGTGGCGACACTTTCGCAGATCGCAGCCCCCAGGGACGGCGAGGTCTCGCTCAGATCTGCGCGGTGCTTCACTCCGCAGGACCCACCAGCAGCCCTCGAAAGAGGCGACAGTTTCGCAGATCGCAGCCCCCCCGGGGACGGCGAGGTTTCGCTCAGATCTGCGCGGTGCCTCACTCCGCAGGACCCACCAGCAGCCCTCGAAAGTGGCGACAGTTTCGCAGGTCGCAGCCCCCCAGGGACGGCGAGGTCTCGCTCAGATCTGCGCGGTGCCCGACTCCGCAGGATCCACCAGCAGCACTCGAAAGAGGCGATAGTTTCACATATCGCAGCCCCCCAGGGACAGCGAGGTCTCGCTCAGATCTGCGCGGTGCCTCACCCCGCAGGACCCACCAGCAGCCCTCGAAAATGGCGACAGTTTCGGCAGCCCCCCAGGGACGGCGAGGTCTCGCTCAGATCTGCGCGGTGCCTCACTCCGCAGGACCCACCAGCAACCCTCGAAAGTGGCGACAGTTTCACATATCGCAGCCCCCCAGGGACGGCGAGGTCTCGCTCAGATCTGCGCAGCGCCTCACTCCGCAGGACCCACCAGCAGCCCTCGACAGTGGCGACAGTTTCGCAGATCGCAGCCCCCCAGTCACGGCGGGGTCTCGCTCAGATTTGCGCGGTGCCCCACTCCGCAGGACCCACCAGCAGCTCTCGAAAGTGGCGACAGTTTTGCAGATCGCAGCCCCCATCGTCGGCGAAGGGAGGGCAGGAGGAGGGGGGGGCGGGAGAAGGATGAGGAGGAGGAGGAGGGACGCGACCACAGTGTTCTATTCCTATAATTCCAGTTTTTTTCCCCAACCATCCTGTGCTTTGGGGTCCTCGTTTTGAAGAGACGGTGCCCCGCGTCCTCTCCTCCTTCTCTCTTTCTCCCCTCCTCCCTCCTCCTCGTCATCGTCACGCAACCATCCTGTGGTGTTGGGTCCTCGTTTTGAAGAGACGGTGCCCCGCGTTCCTCTCCTTCCTCCTCCCCCCTCCTCCCTTTTTCCATCATCAGCATTCTCATCATAATCATCATCACCATCATCATCATCATCAACAAGATCATCATCATCGTCATCACCATCAGCATCATCATCGTCGTCATCATCGTCATCGTCGCAGTCACCATCGTCGTCATCATCATCATCTACGTCATCGTCACAATCATCGCCATCAGCTTCGGCACACCCCTTACACGTTTCGTGGCCCCATAAGGAGCTCCACCGAAGGTCCCCGTGGCGCAGTTCGCATGCGTCGCCCCCATCCAGTACAGCGTTTCGTGGCCCCATGGGGAGCGCCACCTAAGGTCCCAGTGGCGCAGTTCGCATGCGTCTCCCCCGCCCAGGACAGTGATTCGTGGCCCCACAGGGAGCCCCACCGAGGGTCCCAGTGACGCAGTTCGCATGCGTCTCCCCCGCCCAGGACAGCGTTCCGTGGCCCCATAGGGAGCTCCACCTAAGGTCCCAGTGGCACAGTTCGCACGCGTCTCCCCCGCCCAGGACAGCGCTTCGTGGCCCCATAGGGAACGCCACCGAAGTCCCAGGGGCGCAGTTCGCATGCGTCTCCCCCGCCCAGGACAGCGTTTCGTGGCCTCACAAGGGGGCTCCACCGAAGGCCCCAGTGGCGCAGTTTGCATGCGTCTCCCCCGCCCAGAACAGCGTTTCGTGGCCCCATGGGGAGCCCCACCGAAGGCCCCATTGGCGCAGTTCGCATGCGTCTCCCTCGCCCAGGACAGCGGTTCGTGGCCCCATAGGGGGTTCCACCGAAGGCCCCAGTGGCGCAGTTCGCATGCGTCTCCCCCCGCCCAGAACAGCGTTTCGTGGCCTCATGCGGAGCCCCACCGGAGGCCCCAGTGGCGCAGTTCGCATGCGTCTCCCCCGCCCAGGACAGCGCTTCGTGGCCCCATAGGGAGTTCCACCGAAGGCCCCAGTGGCGCAGTCCGCATGCGTCTCTCCCTCCCAGGACAGCGTTCCGTGGCCCCATAGGGAGCCGTCACCCCCATTTCGGCACTCCCTGACACGTTTCGTGGGCTCCACCGAAGGCCTCAGTGGCGGCGTTCCGAAGGTGGGGTTACTTCCATGCGTTCGTTTTTGAAGGCTGCGATGTGTAACCCAGCAGCTGCGCCTCGCCGGCAGCGTTCCAGGGGCGATCGCCGCAACCAGCCCGGGTGCCCGAGCTACTGGCGTTATTGCCCGAGAGTTGTCGAGGGTGTTCCAGGCCCACTGGTGGCCTCGGGGGGCTTCGGGGATGCGTCCGGAGACTTGCGGACTCCTGCGTCGGAGGCCGTCGGAGTTCTGAGGAGGACGAACGGAGTGGGCTGCGGAGGAACGGCGTAGGAGGAGGAGGTCGGAGGAGGAGGAGGAGGAGGAGGAGGAGGAGGAGAAGGAGTGGGAGGAAGATGAGGAGGAAGAGGAGGTAGCCCCCTTCGACTGGTACGAAGACGATGATGACGATGATGATGATGATGATGATGATGATGATGATGATGATGATGATGATGATGATGATGATGATGATGATGATGGTGATGGTGATGGTGATGGTGATGATGATGACGAAGATGATGATGCTGAAGATGATGCTACGGATGATGATGATGATGATGATGACGATGATATGATTCGGATGATGATGATGATGATGATGCTGATGCTGATGATGATGATGATGCTGACGCTGATGCTGATGCTGATGCTGATGCTGATGCTGATGCGGATGATCATGATGCGGATGCTCATGATGGTGATGCGGCTGATGATGATGCAGATGCTGATGCTGGTGATGATGCTGTTGATGACGATGGTCACGATGATGATGATGCTGACGATGGTGACGATGACGAAGATGACAGTGCTGACGATAACGAGCATGATGGTGATGATGATGATGATGATGATGATGATGATGATGATGATGATGATGATGATGATGATGATGATGCTGATGCTGATGATGATGATGATGCTGATGCTGATGCTGATGCTGATGCTGATGATGATGATGATGATGATGATGATGATGATGATGATGATGATGATGATGATGATGATGATGATGATGATCGATGACGATGACGATGACGATGGTCATCATCATCGTCCAGAAGATGGCGTTGATGACGACGATGCTCATGATGATGGCGATGCTGCTGCTGAGGGTGATGATCACCCTGACGCTGCCGACAACGACGACGATGAGGAGGAGGATTAGGAGGACGGGAAGGTGGAGGATGACGGGTAGGGGAGGACGGATATCAGAGTGGAGCAGAAGATCACGGGGAGACATCTTGGCCAGGAGGGTGAGACCCCAGACTTCTATTTGTTTCACGTCGCGACGCCCCCGGGGAACCAGGCCGTGATGAAGCTCTTCTGCAACACGCCGCTGTGCTTCGAGCTCCAGGCGTCCAGCCGCTTCCAGGACCCGAAACTCAGGGACCTCATGGCGTTCCTGCGCAAGCCGGGGAAGCAGGTCCCGCCGGCCATCCGGGCCACGTGGAACGCCATGCAGCTGAAACCCGATGATCGTAGACTCCGGGAGGAAAGGTTCCAGAACGGCCACATGATTGGGTCCTACTGGGACACCGTGGCGCGCTGGATGAATACGCGAGCCTAGCGGGACGCGGACGTCCTGAAGAAGCCCTTCTTCCTCGTGCAGGCCGCCGACAGATCTGCCCCGACGATGAGCAGGAAGGACGCCGCCAAGATGATGAACTGTGCCAACCCGAAGAACACCGGTGGCGTGCACGGACTGCTCCCGGCGCACGTGGGCATGCGGATCCGTCTTCTGGAGACGCTGGACTCCAAATGCGGCCTCGCCAAGGATGCCGAGGGGCAGATCGCGCACGTCGTCGTGGACCTTCGGGATCGCGGCGACGTCGAGAGGGCCGAGAGAGACGGGGAGAAGAGGATCTATCTGAAGCACTTGCCGATGGGGTTCTGGGTGCGCATGGAGAAGTGCGCGAGCGCGCCCTTCGCGGGCGACCTGAAGCGCCACGACGACACCCTCACAGGGGACCTGACGGGCCCGCTGGCGTTCATCAAGCAACGCGCGTCGGAGCCGTTCACGTTCCGCACCTCCAAGGTCACCCGGACGGGCTTCCCGTTCTCGCACGGCAGGGTCATCGCCACGGCGGCGCGCCAGGGGCGCACCACGCGAGAAGGCGACGGGGCGGGGGAACAGCGCCCTCCGGGCAGTCCACGGCCAAACCTCCTGGGCACGAGCGATCCGCAGCCGTGCCTTTTTTGGTTCTGTGGATTCTCGCCTTGGGCCGTTGGCTGCCCCGCGCGCTGCCCCCTCGGCCGACGTCGCCCAGGCGCGATCCTGGACTGCGGCCGCCAGACGACGACTGGTGGCTGGAGCTCTACGCGCTGCTCTCGCGCGCCACGCGCGACGAGGACCTCCTGCTCATGCGGGCGCCGCGCGACGAGTTCTTCCTGGCGTGGCCGCTGGCGGGCTTGCGGAAGCAGTTGGGGCAGTTTGCTGCGCGCGCGAAGCGGTGCAGGAGGGCGGCCGCGACCCTCGCCAGGGAGCTGGGCCTCACCGAGTTTATCCGCGAGGCGTGACCTGGGGAGCGGCCGCCCGCCCGAGCCGCGCCGCATCCAGGCTGTCCCACAGTTCGGCCGGGCGCCGCGGACGACCCGCGCACGTCGCTGGGGCCCTCTCGGGGCGACCAGCGTGCTTCGCGGGGGCTCCGCGCGGCGCACTGCCCGGCGCCTCGTTCGCCCGTCGCGGCTCCGCCCGGCGCCCAGAGCCTTGCCCGCTCCCAGCCAGCCATCTAGCTCACTTTGCTCCGCGCGGCGGACGACCTGCGTGCGTTGCTGGGACCCTATCGGGGCGACCAGCGCGCGTCGCGGGGACTCCGCGCGGCGCTGCGCCCGCAGCCTTGGGCGCTAGAGCGCGCGGGCGAAGAGGGGAAAAAAAGAGCGGGGGGAAGCGGGGGCGATCCACGCGATGGGGGGGTGCCGACATGGGCGTCGACATTCATCCACGTAGACTCCCCCGCACGCAGATTCATGCACAGTCATGCCCACTCGTGCTCAGACTCACCCGCTCTCAGGCCCCCGTTATCAGACCTATCGTTTTCTGCCGCGTTGCGTTCCCCGCCATGCGTCGGCACGCCCCTCGCGCGGTTCTTGGCCTCATAGGGGGCTCCACCGAAGACGAGATTCACAATTGCGGCGCTTTCAGCTGCGTGTGGACGGGTCTTTCGCCAGGCTAATTTTTCGAAGTGGGACTCCGACTCGGAGATCCCGCACATCCCTGACATTTGGCCGGCACCGCGTCTCCCGGCTTCCCGGGGGGCCCCCAAGACGCCCAAGGACAGCTCAAGACGACCCCAGGGAGCCCCCGGAACGCAAAGAACGGTCCAACACGCTCCCGCGCAGCCTGAGACACCCTTCCGACTGCTTTCCAGGCCTCCAGGGGGCCTCCAGAACCCCCAGGGGGTCTGGAAACCACACCCCTGAGGGTCCCGGCTAACAACACCCGCGAGGAACAACCAAAAAAAAAAACCGAACAGCGCCGAGGAACTGGACAAACATGGGAGTCCCACAATTCTTTTTTTCCAACCATCCTGTGGTGTTGGGTCCTCGTTTTGAAGAGACGGTGGCCCGCGTCTCCTCCTCTCCTCTCCTCTCCTTTCCTCCTCCCATCATCATCATCATCATCATCATCATCATCATCATCATCGTCATCATCATCATCATCATCATCATCATCATCATCATCGTCATCGTCATTGTCATCGTCGTCATCGTCATCGTCATCACCCACTTCGGCACACCCCTCACACGTTTCGTGGCCCCATAGGGAGCTCCACCGAAGGCCCCAGTGCTGCCGTCCGCATGCGTCCCGCACACGCATTTCGGCACACCCCTCACACGTTTCGTGGCCCCATAGGGAGCTCCACCGAAGGCCCCATGGCTGCCGTCCGCATGCGTCCCGCACACCATTTCGGCACACCCCTCACACGTTTCGTGGCCCCACAGGGAGCTCCACCGAAGGCCCCAGTGCTGCCGTCCGCATGCGTCCCGCACACCCATTTCGGCACACCCCTCACACGTTTCGTGGCCCCACAGGGAGCTCCACCGAAGGCCCCATGGCTGCCGTCCGCATGCGTCCCGCACACCCATTTCGGCACACCCCTCACACGTTTCGTGGCCCCACAGGGAGCTCCACCGAAGGCCCCAGTGCTGCCGTCCGCATGCGTCCCGCACACCCATTTCGGCACACCCCTCACACGTTTCGTGGCCCCATAGGGAGCTCCACCGAAGGCCCCATGGCTGCCGTCCGCATGCGTCCCGCACACCCATTTCGGCACACCCCTCACACGTTTCGTGGCCCCACAGGGAGCTCCACCGAAGGCCCCATGTCTGCCGTCCGCAGCACTGGGGCCTTCGGTGGAGCTCCCTGTGGGGCCACGAAACGTGTGAGGGGTGTGCCGAAATGGGTGTGCGGGACGCATGCGGACGGCAGCCATGGGGCCTTCGGTGGAGCTCCCTATGGGGCCACGAAACGTGTGAGGGGTGTGCCGAAATGGGTGTGCGGGACGCATGCGGACGGCAGCACTGGGGCCTTCGGTGGAGCTCCCTGTGGGGCCACGAAACGTGTGAGGGGTGTGCCGAAATGGGTGTGCGGGACGCATGCGGACGGCAGCCATGGGGCCTTCGGTGGAGCTCCCTATGGGGCCACGAAGCGTGTGAGGGGTGTGCCGAAATGGGTGTGCGGGACGCATGCCGTCCGCATGCGTCATCGTCGTCATCATCATCATCATCATCATCGTCATCATTGTCATCGTCGTCATCGTCATCGTCATCACCACTTCGGCACACCCCTCACACGTTTCGTGGCCCCATAGGGAGCTCCACCGAAGGCCCCATGGCTGCCGTCCGCATGCGTCCCGCACACCCATTTCGGCACACCCCTCACACGTTTCGTGGCCCCACAGGGAGCTCCACCGAAGGCCCCAGTGCTGCCGTCCGCATGCGTCCCGCACACCCATTTCGGCACACCCCTCACACGTTTCGTGGCCCCATAGGGAGCTCCACCGAAGGCCCCATGGCTGCCGTCCGCATGCGTCCCGCACACCCATTTCGGCACACCCCTCACACGTTTCGTGGCCCCACAGGGAGCTCCACCGAAGGCCCCAGTGCTGCCGTCCGCATGCGTCCCGCACACCCATTTCGGCCCACCCCTCACACGTTTCGTGGCCCCACAGGGAGCTCCGCCGAAGGTCCCAGTGGCGCAGTCCGGGACGCAAGGTCCCAGTGCGGGTCCCGGTCCTACCTGGGACGCAAGGCCGAGTGGGGCGCGGAGGAGCGGGAGTACGACCAGGTCGGCGGCGCCTTCGGCCGGATGCCCATCGTGATCCACCTGGGGGACTTCCTGCAGCTGAAGCCGACGGGAGGCAAGGTGTCGCTCATCTCCAGCTTCGAGGAACTGGCGGCGGCGGGCATCAACCTCGCACCAGAGTGCCAGGCAGTGATGAAGCTCTTCTGCAACACGCCGCTGTGCTTCGAGCTCCAGGCGTCCAACCGCTTCAAGGACCCGAAACTCAGGGACCTCATGGCGTTCCTGCGCAAGCCGGGGAAGCAGGTCCCGCCGGCCATCCGGGCCACGTGGAACGCCATGCAGCTGAAACCCGATGATCGTAGACTCCGGGAGGACAGGTTCCAGAACGGCCACATGATCGGGTCCTATTGGGACACCGTGGCGCGCTGGATGAACATGCGTGCCCAGCGGGACGCGGACGTCCTGAAGAAGCCTCTCTTCCTCGTGCAGGCCGCCGACAGGTCTGCCCCGACGATGAGCAGGAAGGACGCCGCCAAGATGATGAACTGTGCCAACCCGAAGAACACCGGTGGCATGCACGGACTGCTCCCGGTGCACGTGGGCATGCGGATCCGGCTCCTGGAGGCGCTGGACCTCAAGAGCGGCCTCGTCAAGGATGCCGAGGGGCAGATCGTGCACATCGTCGTGGACCCTCGAGATCGGGGCGACGTCGACAAGGCCGAGAGAGACGGGGAGAAGAGGATCTATCTAAGGCACTTGCCGCTGGGGTTCTGGGTGCGCATGGAGAAGTACGCGAGCGCGCCCTTCGTGGATGACCTCGAGCGCCACGACGAGAGCCTCACGGGGGACCTCGCGGGCCCGCTGGTGTTCATCGAGCCCCGCACGTCGGAGCCGTTCACCTTCCGCGCCTCCAAGGTCACCCGGGCGGGCTTCCCGTTCTCGCACGGCAGGGTCATCGCCACGGTGGCGTGCCAGGGGCGCGCCATGCGAGAAGGCGACGGGGCGGGGGGACGGCGCTCCGGGGACGGCCAGACCTCCGAAGCGCGAGCAGTCCGCAGCCATCCTTCGGTCTTGTGGACTCTCGCCCTGGGCCGTCGGCTGCCCGGCGCACTGCCCCCTCGGCCGACGTCGCCCAGGCGTGGTCCTGGACTGCGGCCGCCACGAGGTCGGGAACGGCAAGAAGGAGGGCGACGACTGGTGGCTGGAGCTCTACGCGCTGCTCTCGCGCGCCACGCGCCACGAGGACCTC